TTTATCCAACCTTAGGACGACCTTAAATGTCATGTTACTCAGCTACAGATACTTTATGATTCAGGGAGTAAGCACTCTTTGAAGTGGCATTAATCATAGAGATGCTCTAGCAGAGTAAGAGTCCAGTACAAGTGTCTTTGGATCATTTGGACTTTGATATGACAACACACAGTGTAAAGGTTTCTCAGTGACTCCCCATTACTGACCTTTTCTGATAGCCAGATTATTAAAACAGCATCTTGAGGTCTACCAACAAGCATGAAAATAAAGCCAGACTTTCTACTTCACTGTAAGCATGTAATGTCCAGAAATGTTCAATGCAACTTTTAACCTGATAATTACGTGATTGAAGGTGCTGGAATTTCACCACTTTCAGGGAAGTAAACTGCAACGATTTTTACTTTAAAATTTACAGCTTTGTTCTTTTGATTGGTTTTTAAAGTGGGGGCATTTCTGCATACAACGACACGATGATGTCACAGATATTTATCACCAAACTCTCCCTTTCAGCTCCATGCAGACTTCAATCATTCTTGTGCTTTCCTGTCTTACAGGAAAATGGTAAATATTGGCTTTATTAAGTATTACTGAGATATATCATAATTGATTTATCACATAAATGCTGTTAGTGCAATCTGTATGACAAAACTTTATGAATGAATACATGGACTGAGTGTGGCAGGACGAACATGCTGTAGTTTGGGGCCAAAATGCTAACCATGCACGCCGTCTTCTGGCTCAACATCAAGGTTCTCATTTTGTACAGTGTGCAGACAGAAACATGCCAGTGTCGTTTATACGCACAGAAACTGTGAAAGCAGTTGGTGCTCACAGCTGAAATAATACTAACTGGTTCCAGGTTTTCTGCGTGTCAAACTGTTTCCTTAAACAAACCTTTTTCTATCCACCGATAAGCTCATTATAGATTAAAATCATTGGAGACTTGGCATGTCTCTACAAGACATCATCACAAGGTGGGGTGAAGGAGGACCTGTTTTGCTAAAATTCTTCTACCTGAAAATACTTTAACAAAAACATCATATTGTCAGGTGCTGCTAGAGCTCACCTGGTTGAATAGATGACCCCCGTATGTCAGGGACTACTGCAGGGTTTGAGTTTGACCCCAAAACATTTCCTGCATGTCATTCTGTTGACTCTCTCATTACTTTCCTGTTTAACCTTTTAAATTACTCTGTGTAATAAAGGCTGAGACACATAAAGTTAAAATAAATAAAGGAATTAGATCACCAGAAGAATTGGTGGGGTTTCAGTTGAACATCGATGAGGGGCACACTGAAGTTTGCACATTATGATTAATTTTTGTATATGAGCTCATGGTGGAAATTGTTTCATTTACTGACAGGAAAATACAAAAATCAGGCACCAGCTGACAATTCAACATATGCAAGAGTATCCTAATGCAGTGAAGCTCATAAATAGTTATTCTTTTTCATACAGGGCTACTTCTCTGCCTTTTGCTTGGGAAATTAACCTACATACATGTGCATGTGTCACCTGGTCACCTGGTAAGAAATTAACCGATCAGCTCCTGGACTTTTTAAATCATTTTTTTGCATCGTAGGTTTTCTTTTTTATAACCTTTTATGTCATGAATGCACTAATCCCTCATCTTTTTAGACATTTAGGAATCATGTTCATCTCATCCATTAATCCAGACAACACAATGTGTAAATAAGCAAAGTAGCAATATTTTCAGAGAAAATATCCCAACATCTGCCTGCATATGTATGTTACCAAAATGCTACTGCTGCTGCTGAATGAGATCACAGAACTGTGTGTGTGTTTGTGGCGAGAATGACTAAGTAAAAAGAGCCGCTCAGAGATGAGTAATGTTATTGTACCTCTGACCAGGAACCAGCTGACACTAAATGAATCCAGGACCTGCCAAAGTTGTGCCAATTTTTGTGCGCATAACTTGCATGGATAAAAAAAGAAAATGCGCAAAAAAACCCTCCGTATTACAACGCATGTGTGACTCTTTTTGCATATCCCCGACATAATAATCTTGGCTTATTTGTGTTTCTAATGTCCTCCAGATTTCCTTAGAGAACAGTAATGAAAGAGCGTGGACCCGTTCCTGCTCCCAGCAGACTGGACTCCAGTCCAGGTTTTGGCCTTTACTGGCAAGGCGCAGCAATCTGCAGCATCCCCACACGAAGCCAGCCACACACGCTGTCCGAGAAGCTGCTACGAAGTTACACCAGTAAAGTAAACACAAACATTTATAGAAAGATTATCCCAATTACTAGATAGGAGCGCACTTTATATAGACACAGCCATGTCCATACATGTATTTAATAAACATGCGCATGCTGTAATGTCTTTACATAACCACCTTTATTGCTGTTAACGAATCTGCCTTTTTCAGAAGGAATGGGGGTGAGAAATGGACCGTCTCTCGGTTTCGTTGGGTATTCTGGTGCGCATGTTAACTTTGAAGGGAAGGCTGAAGCAGCGTGGTCCTTTTTTTTAAGAAAAACAAAAAGTGAACTTCCTGTTTCGGGGTGGTCCACAGACTGTGGAGAAAGGGAGGGAGAAAGGGAGGGAGGGAGCGAGGGGGGAAGGGGGTGCACATTCCCGCATTGGCTGTGCAGCCGACTCCAGGGTGCTTTGCGGGACTCCATAGCCGAACATGGGGTTTAATTTTGTCACCGTTTACGTAAAGCGGCTCTGAAGAACCAAACTATGGAAAAGCGCTCCTGAAGGAGGACAATGTGTCGGTTTCTGTGAACAGTTCACTTATCTCCATCCGAGCGCGCTTGGCAGAAAGTAGAGAGAAAAAAGGAGAGACGCGAGGCTTTACTGGAAACTCAGATTTACTTTCACGGTCCTTGGATCCTCAGCGCTCTTCCAAGGACTCTGGGAACCGAGTCAGAAAGTTTCATGCTGAATGTCCCTGCGTTAACCTGAGGTAAGCAGTGCCGCTCATTTATGCTCGCTCCTCAAATCACAGCCGATTACTGGTAATTGTTACCGGGCTGAAGATTCTTCATCCTCCGAAAGTTGAGTTTAAGTACTTGAAACTTTTCTTAACGTGAGAAAATAAATTTCAGTTGTGTCACTAATGGTTATTTAGCAGCTGCTGCGTGACTTTTACCTAATTAAGGTTCAATACTTTTAAAGTTTACAGTTTGCCACACAAATTTCAGTATTGGACCTGTTTAATATCTCTGTTTATCAACCAAAACCGAGTTCAGCATTGGTCCATCTTCACTTGCAAATTGTTTCTTCTGCCTTCTTCTGCCCATTTGTGGAGATGCACGGAGTGGCTCAGAGTTTGGACGTGACATTTTAAAGTTGTGCGTTCATCTCCTGGAGAAGTTCTTCCATGAGAGGTCTGACCGCCTGCATGGTATACACTCATCCGGCACTGAGGAGGGCGGCAAGGCCACCCGAGAACAGCTGTTTCTTGTAACCTGAAATACTTGAGGTGCCAGTGTCTGCTCCAAATGTGAGGTCCTGCCAGGGCACCCACAAAACAACACCTCACTGTGTGAGGCTTTAGTGGACAAAAAGCTCCTGTACGTCTCTTATTAACTGACTTTCACTTCTGTCTTTCTTCTGGGGAAAAAAGGGGGGATATGAGTTGAATAACCATAATCTGTTGTTAATCTGAGATAGATTATGGATTCTAATCTAATTATCTCTGCGAGAGGCCACTGTAGCTGCTAATGTGAGAAGATTAGGCTGCTGGACTTCATGTAGTGACCCTGGACTGAAGAGCGTCAACACTGGACTCAATGGGAGAGCCAAACGCGTATTTATTCCAAAGTGACAGTGAGAAGTGCTAGGCATACAAACTCACAACCTCCCTTAACAGTATTTGCACAGACGCGCTCACGTGCACACAC